GATGTCGGCGCGGAACCCGAAGAAAAGGGGCCGGCTGCATTGCAGGCCAGCATACGGCGGCTTTTCCGCGGGTTAGCGTGATGTCACAGTCACATGCGTGAAACGGTTCTGACCCGCTCATGTCACCTGACAGGATTCAACTCGAACACTGGAAACTCGGCAGGAGTTAAATGCCGCTGGGTGATGATGAACAACGGCGAAGCCCCATCGTCTGCGACTCTTCTGGAAATATCATGTGAGGCCATCCATCGCGAGTCGATCAATGCATTTTCATCAATACTGTGACGGGTCCTCGCGATTCCTCAGCCAGTACCTGCAGCTCTTACACGATTTGGCCGTTGTTTACACCGTTTTCAACCTGCGTTGGATGGATCACGGTGGAATCGTCCCCACGCATCCTCACCCTGGAGTGTGGGATTTGTTTTCGTAAACAGACTTTCTCCTTTCAACCGCCAGAAGGTTTGCGATGAAAACAAAACGAGAAAGAGATTTGTCTTTTGTATTCGTTTGGATGGGTTTGTGCTGCGCTGTAGTTATGGATGGATTATGAGTGAGGATATGGACGAATATCGTTACCACACCGCCCTTTTTTTTTTTTTTTTTTTTTTTTATTGACATCATTGAGCTGTGGATGCTTGCAGTGACTCTTTTTTTACCACTTCTTGCCCTTTCCCACCACAACCACCACACTTGTACGGAGAAGCACTGTAAAAATGTTGTAATTCTATCAGCATATTCTATTTTTTTGTTGGTAAAATGGTGCTGGAGGGAGGGAGGGTACCGGCTGGGAAATAAGCAAGTTTTATGCTCATTTAAATTTTTTTTTAAATAGCTTACAGAGATTTTAAGTGGTTAGCTTTTTTTTTTTTTTTGCCTCCCAACCAACTGGACGAAAACAACGCATGGCATCGAGCTCGTCTTTCTACGTGACACTGTTACTTCATTCCATATCGAAGGCAGACACCACCATGTCAATGTTCTCTTTTTTGGGGGGGAGGGGGGGAGTATTTTATGGAAATTGTGGATCTCCAAGTGCACAACTTTACTGTAAATAATTGCCACTCGGGACTACTGTACAAGCCCAAAAATGACACGAAGGTGACAAAGGACCAACAAAAGTCTTTGAAATGTTTCTGACCTTAGCTCACTTTATTTTAACGAAATCTGTCGTCTCTTTTTTGTTTTTTCCTGCGGTGAGACATTAATTTGACAGAGACGTTCTTTTGTGCAGCGTACACACACGCAGACAATAAGGCCATTTTCAGTGTTTTCATGGCAAAACTGGTTTCGCATCCGTTGTTCGCACCTCACTTGCTCCTCCTGGTTTGGGTTTGGCGGATGAACAGAATCACTTAACGGTTTTCATGTTTAGCCTTGTTTTATAAATCATTATTAATAAATACAGATTTTCCAACAACTGCAGCCTGCCAAGTGTTATCTTTTATTAGAAACACCACACATTTCATTAGGTGCACAACTCCAGTACTTTCCAATGATGTCCAATACAAATTCTTAATTATTTGTAAACATTTTATAAGGACTATTCTATTTTTTTCCCCCCCAACTGATGTAATACCTTAATTTCCCCTCTGCGTATCAAAGAGTGTCTAATGTGTTTTCAGGACAATCAACAAAGCAGGTTTTCACATTTTAAATAAAATGGAAACATGAGTATGAAAATAAAATGAAATAACTGTAGCTTCACTAATCATAAATCCAACGAAGATTTTACCAGAACGAGTGAAAGCACATAACATTTGTTTAGCTGAAGCTTTGCTGTACGACATAACATTGACGCTCACTTCCATGTCGTGTTGTCACTGCAGAATGCCTGAGCCAAAAGAGAGAAACTCAAAAACGGTAAGTCAGAAATCTGGAAGAATTGAACATTTTGAGAGGAGGTGTCACAGTGCCACAATGAGAAACTAATCCTACGAACGGCATTTCAAATTTGGGAGTGATTTTCTTACATTTTCTCCTTCCCATCTTCATGGCTTCACCAGAACCTTCTGAAGAGTACCAACTAGTCGCTTCAAATTCTGGACAGTGTTCTACCATCGCGCTGGCAAATAGTCGATGTTGACTCTGCTCCTGAAACCTGAACATGTGCAAAAAAAGTGTGACTTTTTTTGTAGGATGAAGCACTTGAGACGACAGTGATTACCTGAGGCCCAGTCATGCGTCCGTATATCTGCCGTGTCCGGCGGTCACCAGCTTTCCGGCAGCATGGATGCCATTCACCAGAAGGTCCGCAGCCCAACGCGTACTGGACAGTACCTCTCGAAAGACCACCTTAAGGTTGCAGTTCAAAAACTCTTGGAAGTAGATGGTGGCATCCTCCCTCCAGTGGTCGTCGTCTATGACGGGGCTCACCCCCCTCAGAACGCAAAGATACACCATTTTGGGAATGTTGAGCAGATCCTCTGGGATTACCCTCAAGTTGATGTATTCTTGAGGAGCAAAATGTTCACAGATGCCGTAGTCAACGAGGTCCAGGACCACACCGGATGAGTCCACATGTCGAACTTCAGCACGCCGCCAGATGTTGGGATCTGATCTGACTAAGCAGCTGGCACCGGTCGTGAGGGAACACTTCGGAAGAAGAGGTAACTCTGACTGAGAGAGGTACTCCAACATGATGGCCACTTTGTTCATGACGGGTAGAGAGTCCTTCAGAACCAAGCAGAACTCTGAGGGAGTCGTCATCGAGGCGACAAATGCCGAGTATTCTTTATTGAGTGAGATGGGAGCAAAGACGAACTTCCGATGGTGACTTGAGTTTGGGAGAAGTTGCTCATTTTGGCTTTCACGCGGCGGCAACAGTTGTTGGTTTTGCTGCAGCAACGGAGTGTGGGCTAATGGCGTGTTTGTACAGTCCTTCTTTCTGACACTGAATACCGATTTTTTCTTTGAAAGCTTCTTCCTTTTAGACCTGATTTCAATGGGCCTCTTACTTTCGGTTTTGAAGGTTTCACACAAGGCCTCGGTCGGTTTTGTATCCGTAACGCGGGTCTCAAATGTTCCTTGTTCATTTTCTGTGACTTTCAGGACAGTCTGATCCCAGATCTTGACATTGTCATTCGTTTCCAAAGTACATGCAGGAGCATCTCCTCCCTCCGGGGGTTTTAAAATTTGTTCATCGGGTGTATTGTCATCGTCGAGTATCTCCATCTCTACTTCCCAGTGAGTTTCCCATTTTCGGACAAAGTGAACCATGAGGGGTTTCCCCATGACTGTGTCGGTGAAAGCAGCATCGTCATCGTAAAGGCTTAAGTCCACTAAGCTACATCGGATGCTGAATGCCGGCAGAGAAAAGTATTCCTGAGGCAAGGTGTAGATCTCACCTTTCTCGACGACTGCAGAGTTTCCGTAGTCCAGGAAAGCCACCTTGAATCTGGACTGGCCCTCGTAGGCCCTGACGACCGCACGGTAGAGAGCTGCGTCCTCATCGTAGCGCGCTAGGACGAGTTCGTCGAATCGCACCGAAACGGCGGCCCTCAACGAATGCTCACTCATCGAGTTGATTTCTCCAACCATTTTTAAGATGGCTGCCTCGTCCTCTGAGAGCTGCAGGAAAAAGCGACTGACCGAGTCGATGTGGGAAACAAAACACAGCAAACTGCAACCTTCTTTCTCCTTCCTGTCTGGCAAAAGTAGGAGTGGAGGCTTCTTGCGAGCCGCAGGCACTTTGGTCTTTTCAACCTGCCGTTTTACATGGGAGACTTGCTCTTCTTCACCAGGTTTCAAAGTACAGCTTTTAGAGTTTGGTGTCCTCGCTGGAGTTTCATTTTTGGGATATCGATGTTGACGCCTGTTTTCAAAGGACTTAACATGCTCCTTCTTAACATGCTCCTCCTTTGGGCGTGGTCTCGCCCAGTCATGAGCGCCTTTGTGTCGGGTGACTTTGGGAGAGTAATCAGCCGGCCTTAAATTCTTGCTCCTGGCAGCTCTTAAGTGATTTTTCGGCCCGTAGGTAAACCTCACAGTGGGCCGTGGTTTCGGTGAAACTCTGCCAATGAGCTCCTTGACCTTCTCGTTGATGTTCAGATCACCATCAAAGAGCTGGACATCGAAGGAACCTTCTTGAGACTTGCCGAGGAGAATGGCTCGCACCTGCTTGTTGAGGACCGCTCCGTCCAGCCATTCCTTGACTTCCATGTAGAGCTCCTTCCTGGACACAGAGGCCAAGTTGAACTTCAAAGCTTGAACGGGGGTGGATAACAAGCGATCGCAGCCTCTGGGAATGGACACCACGTGCGTTTTCTCGGCAATACTTCGATTCCCGTAATCTACAAAGACGACGCTGAGATGCAGCGGAGACGGAGCGGTATGAACCAGTGCCCGATACCAATTTCCGTCCAAATATTTTGCCAGGCACATTCTCGCCGGAGCATCTTCCCCACTGGCCCGCTTCATTTTCGCGATTGCCTCGGAGATGTTCACCTCAAGGTCCGCGATGGCTTCGGTGTTGCGCTGGAGTTGACAGTAGATATCCCACTCCCAGCTGACATGAGTTACGTAGACTTCTTCCTCGTCATTAGGCATTAAGCCAAAGGACGAGTAGACAAACTCCTCAGGAAAATCCCGCTTCTCTTTTGCCAGATGTTGGTTTGTGACACCCTGCTGCGTTTGGGTGTTGAAGAGCTCCACAATGTTCAACCGTTCGCTTTTGTCATTCCGTTGCGACACCACTTTACACCTCAGGTTGCCATCGCTGTCAGAGATAAACCTCCTCAAATGGTCTGAAAGCTCCTCGGAGGTTCCAACCAATTCAGTCCGCTTTAGAAGGCTGCATCGGAAAGCTTGGCCTTCTAGCGCAACGTATTCGGGCATTATTCTCTGTAGCTGGTTGACCTGAACTTGGATGCTGACGCCGTAGTCTACCAACAGCACCTTGGCGTGGTCTTTCTGTCTCTCTTGGATGGAGGCCCTGTACCATCTCCCATCCTGTGGTGACTTTGCCACGCAACACGACTCCTCGTTTTGGAGGGGAACTGTATGCAACGTATAATACCGCTGAATTTTCCCCATCAGGTCTTCCATATCTGGAACTTTATCCTGCACCTGGCACCAGAAATCTGACGCCGAGTTGATGCAAGAGCACCGGACTGGGAACTCATAACCAGGTCGGACATCCAAGATCTTGAAGCTGGTAGGCATTGAAGACTTTTGGACACATTTGTCCTTTTCTTCCTTCCAGGCTTCATTTCCACTGACATGTGATTCTCGAATCCCTTTACTTGTCTTCCCATCATTCGGATTTTGCTCCACAGGTTTGACTGGAATGATTTTCCAGCATTCAGCTTGTTTGGAAGACACCATAAGCTGGCTGATGCTCCGACCGTCGTCGCTTCCCGACCGATACAAATCGATGACGCACTTGTGTTGTGCGATCTGGACAATGTGGATGCGCAGTGCCTTGTCGAAGAGCGCCACTCTGAAGAAGTCACAGTTCAAATGGGTCCACACGTCGTCCAAAGGCATCACGTTGGCGAGAGTGCAGCAAAGGGCAAACGCGGAAATGCCGGCAAACGTCTCGGGAATCTTCTTGATCATAGCGCGAGGAACCTTCTCGATATTGCCAAAGTCGATGAAGAGAACTTCGGCGCCATGCTCGAGCTCGTTTGTGACCACGCCTCTGTAGAAGTGCATGTCTGCCTCATACAACGCGCAGCACGGCGTTCCGGGCTGAGGGTTCATCAAAACATCATCTTCGAGCTTCACGCCGGCAAAGTGTTCGGACATTTTGTTCATCATTTCCTGGAACTCGCCGTTTCGTTTTGTGGTTCGGATCCAAAAGTTGCTTGGATTCTCGGCGTATTCGAGGAAGCCCTCAAACACCGAGTGCACCTGTAGCTCCTCCTCTTTCAGGGTTTTCACCAGCTCTTGCCCTATGATGGTCTCGTAGAACAGGTTGGCATCCTGGATGGCCACATCTTCTACAGTAGAAAGGGGCTCCTCTTTTATTTGAGGAGGGAGCTCTCTCGTCACTTCTTCTGTCACATATTTATCCAAAGCACCGACTCCTGTGATCAAATAGAGGCACTGCTCCTCATCAAAACTATCGATCTGCACTTCTAGGACACCTCCGAGCAAGCCCGACTTGAGGTAACTCAACTGCTGACTCACAAGGTCCTCGTCCTGAGACTTCCGAGCAGAGAGCGAGCACGGGAACGCCATGAAGGGTGTCAAGTACAAATCGGGTGGCAAGCTGTGGACATCCTCGACTTTGACCGATTCGCAGAATCCAAAATCCACAAACAAGACTTGCACTTCTGAGTTCATCAGGAGAAACTGGACAAAGCCTCTGTACCATTTCCCACTTTTGCCTTTCGCCGAGCATAGAAGTCCCACATTTTCTCGAGGGTGATATTTGCTTCTGCGTTCACTGACTGCAGCCAGCTTCTTGGACATGAGCCGAAGCTCGGATTCCTTACTCGCCATCTGACAGTAAAAGAGGCCCGAGTGAACAGCGGCCGTCACCCGGACTTTCGCGCGGGTGCCGCAGCTCAGTCTGGGCCCGCAAAAATTCAGTATTTCCTCATAAACCTTCAATCCGCTCGACTTGGGGCGATACACGTGTCCGCCCTGCTCGTTGACAAGCAGGTCGGGAAGATCGATGTTTTGTTTGAGCGGGACCCCGGTCAGCAACTCCACCAACAGCAGGAAGGTGTCTTTGTCCGTATGTTTTCCAAACCTTTGCCTGACCAGCTCGTTGTTGATGTCAGGAATATCCAGCAGGAGAACTCTATGCGGCAGGATGGTTTGGATGCAGCCGGTAAAGCTTTTCCCGATCAGGCTCGAGAGGAAGTCCACCACGCCAGAGGAATGGCAGGAGCTGGCAGGCACCAGCACGTTAGCGAGGATACCGCAAACAATCTTTGGTGGCCGGCTGAACAAATCGTTGGAGCATGAAGCTACGTGGGCCACGTCCACACTTAAGACGCTGCCGTGGTCAATGAGGAACACGTCCAACACGCAATCGTTGCACCTCTGAACCCTTCCTCTGTACCAATGGGCTGTGCTCACGTCTTTGACCAAGCAAAACTCGCCGACGTCCACCTTCGCGTTGGTCTTGGGCGTGTTTTGGATTTCCTGCTGAAGGATGTTGTAGTCCAGCTCGTCTATGGTTAGGTATTGTCCCTGGAAGTGGATCAGGGTGGCTTCGGGGCTCCAGTCCAAGTGGGATAGCTCAAGGTCCACTGTCACCAGGGCACCAGAGTCCAGAAACCTGGATAGAAACATTTTGATTTTATTGAAGTATGTTACCCTTTCATATGTACCCCCCCCCCACCCCCCAAAAAAATGGTCAGAAGAGGTGGGGGAGCACTTCACAAACATGCTAAAAATGTATTCATTGTGCTAAAAGTCAATTTCTGAGAAGCAGTTAGAGAAACTAAACTTGATCTTATCAGTGACACAGCAAAACTGGTATTTGTGTGTATCAATGTTTTCCAAAATAGTGGCAGATGTTTGCAAATGTCTTATTTTGATCACATACAAAAGATAATCAGTCTGATTTCATGAATGACTACAGAAAGCAGCGAAAAATTACTGTTGCATGTCAATTTTAAGTTAAACAGGGGCTCTGAATGACTATTAAAATAGTTGTAGATGAATCAATTAATTTTGCCTCCTCTAATATCAATGAACTGTTTGTCCGTCTGTCTTGTACTGCCCCCAGTTGGCCAAAGCGAGCACACCAGAAGGACCAGCAATATGGCCATTCAATTGCAATTTGACAAAAATGCTTGTTTAATTCCATTTAATTTCATTAATGGGTGTGTTTATAACAATACAATAATAAAGTACAACATTTTGGAACACTTTTTCCTCATTAAAATACACATTTCAGCATTTTTTTTTTTTTTTTTAGGGAAGGCGGAAACAGATTATCGGAATTTTCATTCATTTCAATAGAAAAGACGATTTGCAATACGACTGTGATCAGGGGACGAATTAACGTTGTATCTCAAGGCACCACCGTATACTATTTGGGGTATTTATAAGAAAACCACAATTGTACTCACCGGATGAATGAAGTCAATATCTTTCAGTAAAATTCTGTTCACATTTTAGTTAAGGCATGCATCACCTTGTATTCGTTTTTTTTTTTTTTTTTCTTTTTTTTCTTCACCTGTGATGTTGCACGTTCACCAATGACTGCATGGCTGCTGATTCGGGATGCTTCTCTCCCAAAGACAACCTATTAAAAAAAAAAAAAAGAGAGAAAAATAGTCAGTCACAAAAATATGGGCTTCAAATCAACATTAATTTATGAGCATGCCATTGAGCAGAGAGCAGACCTCTGCCAAGGCCAAACAATCAGCGCCTCATTGTACACATTCATTGATTTCTGTCTGCTGTACACGTCTACTCTGAACTTAATTCAGTCATCATTCTTTGATGGGGAGGAAAAACGTTCAATCGTGTTACCAAGAGTGAAATTAAAAATTCCTTACATCTCAATGTAATAACCTTTGACATTGTTCATTAAGGTGGAAGATTCTCAACGGTGCGAACCACAGCAGCGACTGTAGTTAGCCACAATGCTAACCCTAAGCTAAAGTAACGTGAAATACTCCTACCTCAACCTGATGCTCTTTTTAAGAGAAATTCTCCTCCAGCGTTTAATGCGTGCCACTTGATAATTTGGTCGTGTTTTGTGTGCGCTTTCCAATCTTTTATGTGACCATCACGAGCAAAGATTGACAGATGGCGAGTGGCTAGCTAGCTAGCTGAGGCTAAAACGACAACGAGCAGAACATGACGGGATGACGTTGGCGAAAACCGCCACCCGATTGGCCGGCGGATGTTTTGAGTTGTGACGTTGAACCAATCAGGTGTCAGTGTACTAATTCGTTACCGGTTGCTTTGAGTTCCCGGGCCACACCAAATTGTCCTCCATGACAGGAAGGAAAAGATCACGTTTAAATCAAATCAGGTAACTTTGATCATAAATTATTCGGATATTTGATCGGCACTGGCACCAGCTCTTATTATGACGGCTTGTAATATATATTTTTGTTTGTAGAGCAAAACATCGCACTCGCTCTACAAATGTAACAGATTGTTTACAGTCATATAAATGGAAAGTGCACCTGCTACTCTCCCCAAATTATTACCACGTTTAGATAGAGACATACTGTACTTTATATAATACTTCGTATAATACTAGATTTAAATTAACTGCATTCTAATGACGTGTCACAAAAGTTTTGCCCTCTAAATATTTTTAATCACCAACCACAGTTGATCCAGAGATGAATTCATATTGCACTAAAGCAAATAGCCACCTGAATGTTTACCCAGCTGCGTCTTTGTGTTGTGCGCAAGGTAACATTCTGTTTCCAGCAGACCGTAAATTGAATGCCCCTGTAAATGGCATGTCCTGCATATCATTTTTTAAGCAGTCACAAAATGACCTCTATCTGCTTGCCAAGGGGGCCATTCTGAGATTCAAGACTTATTCTGTATGTCTTCTCTAGGTATATCTGCTTTTATACATTACATTTTATTATTGCTGTCTTTATTTTCCCATAACTCAACTAGTTTTCCCTTCACATTTTGTACTTAAGGCAGCTGTATGGACAAATGCTTCTCGTTTAGAGCGCCTTGTTGTCATGGCGTGGAAAACCCCTGTGATGACCCATAGGGACATTATCCATCTGCCGGTGGCTTTAATCAGATACATTTAATGTACCCGGCCCAAACATGTATTAGAACAAAGTAGCATCTATTTTTAGAGTTCATAGAAGTGATATTTAATGGACAGTTAATTATCAAGGCATTGAGCAGACATGCTCGTCGCCCACAGCATCTAAGGTCACTTTATATACATTAACACCCTTACCAAATTTGAATGGTTCACAACACTTTTCTCTGCGATGTGTCAAATTTGCCAAAAATGTATTTTCACATAGACTTTCAGAATAAATTTCAAATGAGGGAAATACCTTAATTATTGGAAAATCATTGAATTAAAGATAAGGTTTGTAGCTTCTTGATTTTTAAACGTTTGTATGAGTGTGAAAGCTGGAGGTGCAAAGCGTGTGGGGAAGCTGATGGTGCTGGAAAGACAGATGGATGAGTCTTTTTTTTTTTTCCCCCTCCTCCCTGTTAATGATTAAGAAGCTGTTCTGTAAATATGATGCTCGCATGCGCTGGGCCTGCTCGCTCATCTCCTCACGGTACAGCACCTCATCGACCTTCTTCCTCGTCTTCCTCCTGACAAAAGATCCACCGGCTGCTTCTGCTCTGCTTTAGGCCTTCTTCAGGACCCAAATGAGCAGCTTCTTCCTATTTTTTATTTTTATTTTTATTTTTATAAAATAAAACTCTTAAATGTCCCCCGTGCATGGTATGACTATGGCGATGAAGCGCAGCCGTGAGAGTTCGGCTGCGGATAGGCTTTTACCTCTTCACGCTTTCAACAAAACTTTGTGCGGCTCACAAGTGGACACAGCCTTCCGTGGACGCTTTAACCAGGACGATGATTCTGCCATCAAATCAGGTAAAAAACAAAAAAAAGACACAAACCTCCCAAAACATTAAATATAATTACTAACATTACTTTGAGGTTCAAATTAACGAGTATGTATTGCTATTTGTACATGTACAGTTGGCTCATTCTCTACTGCTTTGCTTTTAAGTGCAGTATGTCTTTCATCGTCTCTGATTGGATTTACTTGGACAAAAAAAAAAAATGACGCTGATCGGCCACGAGGTGGTGGCGAAAACAAATAAAAAGCCCAAACTGCAAAATGCCACAGTGTGGTTTCCAATTATGATGTTGGGAATGGGCCCAGAACGTGCAGGGTTTATAAAGGTGCTTCAAATTGCTTGAATTTGAACCATCAAATTAGTTACAAAAACTTTTTTAAATCCTAAATCTTTTAAATAGAAGTACTATTGGCAGGGAACTTCAGTCACTTTCACAACAAGCTGGACTTTGGCAGATTTAATTACTAAATGTTCACAAAAGAAGCTCCAAGATGTTTATTGACTGAAGCTTACTGTCAAACTAAACATAAAACCAAGATGTGTATTTGAAACAACTACATAGCCTCCACTGGAATTACAAGGGGAAATATCATAGGCACAAGGGCTAACAATTAGCATCTATGTGTTGGTGTGACCCTTTCAGCAAGAACTATCTGAACACAAACTTTGCAGCAACACACAGAGAGAAAATAAAACAATGCTCACAGCCATGTATTCTTTATCCTCTGCAAAGAACAACTCATAATTCTGGCGTACTGATCAACCGAAGACTTCAGCTCTTTATGTTGTTAAATAAAAACATAATTGTGAATTTTTGTGATTTCCTCAGAGGCGGAGGACAGCAACGAAATGGCGTCCTCAGAGGAAGACCAGGATCTGGACCAGGACCAGAATGAGGAAGTGAGTGCCAAAGCAAGCCTGGCTTCACCCAGGAAAAGCATCAACAAGATGAGCAAGGACAAGAAGAAGCAGACACAGCTCACACTGCAGTGGTAAGCACCAATGTGCTATTTGTGAATGATGATGATGATGATGCTGATTGTTGTGGTGCCCCCTATCAGGCTGGAGGAGAACTACATTGTGTGCGAGGGTGTGTGTCTCCCTCGCTGCATCCTCTATGCTCACTACCTGGACTTCTGCAGGAAAATCAAACTGGAGCCCGCCTGCGCTGCCACTTTTGGAAAAGTACAGTACCTTTTTTTCATCTTTTTTTAATCTTCCAGAATATGCAAATAGTTGTCCTCTTACGTCTGTGTCAATTGAAATGGTTTTGGGGGCTGATTTTTTTATTTTTTGTCCTAAAACTGCCAGTATTGAGTGAGTTTTGCAGGTTGGCTATAGGGCCGACAAAATTGGTAAAATCATACAAGGATACCCACATTAGTAGAAATTTATTGATTGGAATAATTTGTTTGACAAAAATAACAGACCACGTGGTATCAGTATCGATTTGTGAAAAGAAATTGGCCACTGATCTGAGATGGGGAAAAAATCCCCAAAACGAATTCACTCCTCTTCAAGCAGCTTTTTAACATGATCGGTGGTCATAAGGCTAATAAAATAAAATAAAATACCTGTACATGATAAAATTAATACAAAGTAAAACTACAAACCCTTTGGACTATGCCTGAGAAGCCGCCTCATATTTGAGCAATACTGTCGTGACTCATGATGTTGCTGGATGTTTTATTTATTTATTTATTTATTTATGTATTTATTGTTTTTGAGTGTGTGTGTGTGTGTGTGTGTGTGTGTACGAAACATTTGGATGTTGTTATCAAACTTTTTTTTTTTTTTGCCTCAATCAGACAATCCGACAGAAGTTCCCTCTCCTCACCACTAGGAGACTGGGAACCAGGGGACATTCTAAGTCAGCACCACTTTTAAACCGTCATATTTCTCAATCCTCATGTTCACAGAATTGTTTTTAGTAACTGGTGTTACATGACAGGTATCATTACTATGGCATCGGCATCAAAGAGAGCAGCGCTTACTATCATTCCGTCTACTCAGGGAAAGGTTTGACCAGGTACTTAATACACGTAATGACAAAAACGATAACATTCGATGTCAAACACAACAATTAACATCAACGTTTAGATTTTCTGCTTGGATGATTTTCCTTTTCCTGTCGGCAGATTTTCTGGAAGCAAGATGAAGAATGAGGTAGTGTCCTCTATGTGCCACCTTTTGGAAACGTTTTGTATGTTACTAAATAAGTCACTGAATGATGCTGACGCGCATGTTGTGTGCAGGGAGGCTTCACCAGGAAATACTCTCTTAGCTCCAAAACGGGAACGCTGCTCCCGGAATTCCCTAGCGCCCAGCACCTTATTCTGCAGGGAAACATCTCCCGGGAAAAGGTTCTGTACGGCGGGACTGGGCACTTGATGGACCCCTTATGTGACATCATAATAATTCAAATTAAAATAATAGGTGGACACGCTGATCATGATGTACAAGACGCACTGTCAGTGCATCTTGGACAACGCCATCAATGTCAACTTTGACGAGGTGACGCCTCGCCTTGGTACGCACGGCCTACCGAGCGGTTTGGCGACGCTCACGTGTCTTCTCGCGATGCTCTTCCAGATACACAACTTCCTGTTGCACTTCTGGCAGGGCATGCCCGACCACCTGTTGCCACTGCTGGACAACCCGTTGCTGGTGGACATTTTGTGCGTGTGCGACTCCATTTTGTATAAGGTAAGCCGCCAACATCAGCTAAATTCTACTTAAATCAGTAGAGTGCATTTTCCACACATTTAGAATTGTCAATCAAGTGTCAGAAGTGTAATTTATAGTCATCTCAAACCACCTCCCTCTGCTTTTTTTATTTCACGTTATTATAATCAACATATAGCTAGATTTTGTGATTGACAGATGTGCTCATCACTCCTTTACTGTGCTGCCGGTTGGTATAATCATAATTGATGAATGGTAATGAAATATAGAATGAATCACATGACATTTTCTTTTAATCTGCTCAGGTTTTGACTGATGTGCTCATTCCCGCCACAATGCAAGAGATGCCTGAAAGGTTTGCTTTCTCTTTTAAGGAATCGAATCATTGTTCAATGCCATTGCCATTTTTTAATGCTATCACATCAATGCTGGTTTAGACATTTGATTAGGGTACTCCATCTCAAAATATCAATTTTGAACAAACACAAAACAACAAATTCTGCCTTTACATTAAAATGAGGGATTGAGTTTGGGTAAACACACAGTTTACCCATCCATGAGTTTTGTGTACCGCTTTTCCTCATTTGGGTCACGGGTGAGCATTGCAAGGCACATGTAGACCAACAGCCATTCACACTCTAATTGACAGTTTAAAATCTTGACCTAAGAGGCGTGTTGTCCTTTGGCTCTGACAAAATTGTGTGCCGAACAAAGTGATGTATCGTGTCTTGCCAATCATGGCGTGTTTGACATCTGTCAGCCTGCTCGCGGATATCTGCAACTTTGCCAAGCACTGGGAAATGTGGCTGGCCTCCTCCCTGGACAACCTCCCACAATGCCTTGCTGCCAAGAAGCTGCCCATCGCGCGCCGATTTGTGTCCTCCCTCAAGCGGCAGACGTCCTTCTTGCACCTGGCGCAGGTAACGTGACATCCACGTTGTCGCAGAAGTACGTATATGCAGTGACGCCTCACTCAGCCGGATGGCCTGTGGCTGTCATAGGTTAGCACGTCTGGCTAATTGGATGACAGAATGTCCCAAGAGAAGATTTCAGTCCTGAACGAAGGGCGGAATACCAGGATAAGTTTCAAGTCCTGAGTATAGTTTCAATTGGAAGGTTTTGTGCTTGTCCCAAGTAAAAATTCCAGTTCAGAGAGAAGGTTCTAGTCCCAAGAGCAAATTCTTGTCCTCAGACCCGTATGTATTTTTCTCACGATTATCCTTAGTGTCGACAGCTATGTCTGTATGGCTGCACTTCTCAAGAATTGAAATATATCTACTGTGTGGGAGTCAACATTTAAAATAATCCGATTACAAATTACACAAATTAATTTTGGTGCCTGTCTGTTTCCAGATATATTAATGAAAGAGACGCATTATGTTTGTACACCGTCTTTTCCGCAATGTATATGTATCGCGTATAAGGCTCACCTTCAATGAATGGCGTATTTTAAAACTGTTTTATAAGCTACAATAGTGGTTGCGTTTGCCTTATGCATCCACGAGATGGAGCTACGCTAAAGGGAATACAATACAATACAGCTTTATTTATATTGAGCTTTCAACCTTTCAGCGCTTGACAGAACATTTAAAATACTACGTCCAAGAAATCAGAATATTGATCCATATATAAGGCGTATCGGATTATAAGGTGCACTGTCGGAGTTTGAGAAACTGGAATGCTTTTCGGTGCGCCTTAAAGTGCGGAAAATACGGTGCTTTGTTGGTTGTCACTTTGTGAATTTCAGTTCATTTACTTGCATTCGTTTACTGGGCAGACCTGCCACATGCAATATGGCGGATACGTTGACATAACGTAACAATGGGCCAGTGCGCTTAAAGGAGCTCCTGTGTAAAGTATGTCGATGACTGTCTGTGTGGTTTTGCCGCCGGCATCACACCTGGGCAGATCGCCCGTCCGGCGCTGTTTGACCAAAGCGTGGTGAGCAACATGGTGGCGGACATGGACAATGTGGACCTGAACAGCATCAGCCTGCAATCGCTGCTCAGCATCAACGCCAATGGCGAACAGCTGCATGACGCCCACTCCGACTGTAAGTCGGCGTGTGATTGATGACCCAAATGAGGATCTCTTGGACTTGGCGTAGCTATACACAGCCAGACGTGCTGAAACACGTGTGTGTTTCCCTGCAGACGAGGCCATCGCCGTCTTCCAGGAGCTGAAGGAGCTTTTAAGGAAGAATGCCACCGTCGAATCCTTTGTCGAGTGGCTGGACACCGTGGTGGAGCACAAAGTCATTAAGGTCCCATTTCAAGTGCTGTACAGTGGACCCTGCGATTCTGCAGAATCACAGATTTGATTTTACCAATGCTTTTAGAACTTAAGTGATTCTTGACCTTGCCCGGTCCCTAAAAAGTGTGCGTGTGAGAATATCTTTTGGCGTAAGTTTTTATTTGTTACGTGTGTGATGTTTATGTCATTTTGGCACCTGTAAGTAAGTCACCGCTTAGTAATCGGCAAACAGGTGCAGTTAGCTTTTGGTGTTTGTGTTTTGGCGTTTGCTCAGCCGGGCAAACAGGGCGGTCGCTCGGTGAGGAGGCGAGCTCAGGACTTCCTGCTGCGCTGGAGCTTCTTCGGCGCCCGCGTGATGCACAACCTCACACTCAACAACGCCGCCAGTTTCGGTAAGGTGACGCCGCCACACGCCCGCCGTCGTCATCGCGGCTATTAGGACTCCCATGAATCATTCCGAGGCTCCATTTTGCGCCCGCGCTCTTCTTTACACAATGCAGCCATAAATAGTAATCATTAAACAGTCTTATCTTGGGGTCGTGTGCTCGCTGTTTAAACACAGTGCGTGTGAATAAACACGCACGCAGAGTCACGCACGCACGCAGAGTCACGCACGCACGCAGAGTCACGCACGCACGCAGAGTCACGCACGCACGCAGAGTCACGCACGCACGCAGAGTCACGCACGCACGCAGAGTCACGCACGCACGCAGAGTCACGCACGCACGCAGAGTCACGCACGCACGCAGAGTCACGCACGCACGCGTACTCGAACAGCAAAGCCCTGCTGGACAAACGGAGCAATTGAATGCTAAGCACCATTTTTCTCAATCCAATCCAACATGTTTGGTTTTTATATTATTATATTCTTGAAGTTGTTATCGTATAATGTTTCATGCATTTATTGTTTGTGTATTACTTTAATGTTACTTGGATGTTTCTATATTGTTTCCTTTTTATTTTATTTCATCCATCCATCCATCCATCCATTTTCGAATCCACTTATCCTTACAATGTTCGCGGGGGTGCTGGAGCCTGTATCCCGGCTTTCCTCGGGCAGTAGCTGGGGGACACCCTGAACCGGTTGCCAGCCAATCGCAGGGCACACATAGACAAGCAACCATCCGCGCTCACAATCACACCTAGGGACAATTTTGAGTGTCCAATCAGTCTGCCATGCATGTTTTTGGAATGTGGGAGGAAAACGGAGTACAGTACCTGGAGAAAACCCACACAGGGACGGGGAAAACATGTAAACTCCACACAGAAAGGCCTGAGCCGGATTCTATCCCTGCACCTCTGCACTGTGAAGTGGACGTGCTAACCAGTCGACTGCCGTGCCGCCCATTTTATTTCATAATATTTTATTCTGTTCTTATTTTCCTTTTATTACAAAGTTTATTCGTACTGTATTAGTTTAGTAATATTTTATTTTGTATCAAATATTTTCTTTTCATTTCACACATTTGCTATTTTTATGTAATTTTCTTTTTTTTTTTTTAATGTGATACATTAAATTTGTAGTTTTATTTAGTTTTTCTTAAAAAAAAATCATTTGAACAAATATTAAAAGCACCCAATGTCATACTAACACAGTTGCGCCTCATTTTCTTTGGCATGCTAGCCTTTTTAGCAGTTCGAGCATGGAACTGAACTGCGGAAAAGCGGGGTCTTCTGTAATCAGCATAATAATACTCATAATAATAAGTCTAATTTATGTATGAGGGCGTGTAATTGGACACAACGGGAGTTTCTTCATGTTTCTCCACAATATCGTTTCACTTTCTTCCCCAAAATAGACAACTCCCACCAAGTGCATGCCTTCCCCATCTGCAGTTGAGTACATAACTACAGTATGTGGATGGTGTTCAGGTTCCTTCCATCTGATCCGGATGCTTCTGGATGAATACATCCTACTGGCGCTCGAAACCCAGTTCAACAACGACAAAGAGCGCGACCTGCAGAACCTTCTGGACAAACACATGAAAAAAGAAGGTAGGTAGTGATTGGACACAATGGCATCTCCGTTTTTATTTTGCATAAATAGCCAACTTTTTCCATTCTCTCAGGGGCCAGTAAAGCAGCCTTTTTGGCATGTCCCAGCTCCTGCTTCCTAGCCAATCGCAACAAAGTCAACAGTGCGCCTGTCGTCGTCGACCAATCGGTGAAGAGCGAGTCCTCGGGACAGGATGCCTCTGTGTCTCTGGCGGACAACCGGCAGCGAGGGGTGGAGACGGGCGCTGCCATCGTCATATCCGTGACGGATTCTGTTGACTTCCCTGGTGCAGGTACATTAAAAAAAAAAAAAATCATGATACTTGTTTTTTTTTTTTTTTTTTTTGTGGAAACTTTATTCTCCAAGTCTTGGCACATTGAGTTGCCCAGTGTTTGAAATGTGCTCTTCCTGTCAATAAAACTGCCTTGCCTAGATTTATGGTTAATGACCAAAAATTATTATTATGCAATTTAACTGATTTCAGTTTCATAATGTTGCAGTTTCTTCCCAAAAATATTTTTCTCGTAAAATGATATCTTTGTTCTGAATTAAAAAAAAAAAAATACAAGACTTTTCTCACATACCATGATGATTTATTTATTCATTCATACCATATGATATATTTAATGAACTTTTCCTACCAATAAATGGTTTTGTCATGGAGGATATATGTTCTCGAGCCTCCTTCAAACTAAATTTCAAAAAAATAAAGACCAGCTTTTGCTTTCCAGGCGGTCCCGCAGACTTTTGTGCTTCAGTCATGACGCCTCCTATCTCTCCGGCGCCGCTGGTGCACAGAGGCTCGGTCATCAACCAGGGGCCACGAGCCCCGACTTCTTCCTGCTCCTCTTCGTCTTCGTCATCATCCTACCTCTCCACGTTGGGTGCCGTAAACCAGCCCAACCTCTGTGCCGTCTTCCCGGAGACTTTGTACCCCTGCTCAGCCTACTTCCCTATGCCCGCATCCGCTTACCAGCCTGGACTCAGGTCAGCTTCAACTCTCTTTTGTACAGCGCTCCCGTCAGGTTTTTAATTGGATTTATTGTAGGTTAGTTAGCGTTCTTTTTGGTATGTAATTATAAGTACTAGGGCGGCATGGTGGTCGACTAGTTAGCGCCTCGGCTTCACAGTGCAGAGAGTTCCATTCTGGCTTTGGCCTGCCTGTGTGGAGTTCGCATGTTCTCTGTGTGGGCTTTTTCTGGGTACTTCGGTTTCCTCCCTCATTCTAAGAACATGTATGGCAGGTTAATGAAACACAAAATTTTCCCTAGGTGTGATCGTGAGCATGAATGGTTGTTCGTCGATGTGTGCCATTCGATTGGCTAATCCACTTTATCCTCATGAGGGTCGCGGGCGTGCTGGAGCCTATCTCAGCTGGCTTCGGGCAGTAGGCGGGGCACACCCTGAACTGGATGCCAGCCAATCGCAGGGCACACATAGACAAACAACCATTCGCGCTCGCAATCATTAGAGCCAAACTTCAATCACCGGTGCAAAAATGGACAAGATGCTGCAGCAGGGACAACAACATTAAGAGTGGCCTGATGTCGTGCAGCCACTCTGTGCTGTGTTGGGTCACCTGAAGTTTTGTTCGAGTACAAATCTCATAAATAAATTCAATGAAATCTAAATAGTTTTGCTTTTTTTTTTAATTAAAGTTTAATATTTTGAGTAACAAATCAAAGTTGCTCGTGAGAAAGCTATTAGAGGGATCTCTGAATCGAAATATTTTCATTTTGCAGATTTTACAAACAACATTTAACTTATGTCATTATCTGTTCATGACTGTTAAAATAGTAGGAGTAGAAAAATGCAATTCATGATGGAAAATGTTGCGATTAATCACCTGATAGTACGAGGTTATCTTACGTACATTTTGGTGTCGTAAGAATGTGGTATTTTTTTCCTGACTGGAGTCTGGTCAAATTTAGTTTTTTGTGTGTTGAGGCCCGAGGTGGAGAGCACATTCTCGTCTTGCGTCACGACGTCCTCCTTGGCCTACCAGCTGTGTCGTTACCCCACCTTGGATGACCAGCAACCTGCCGTCAAAGACGTCTTCTACGGAGATGGCCATCATTTCTCCTCCGCCGTGGGTCCCGCCTGCTCGCTGAGCCCTTACGCGTCTTCCGCCCACCCGGCTTCCGGCTACGGCTCTAGCTCGGACGCCATCCTGAACGATCCCGGTCTGGAGGTTGAGACGGCGGCTCACATGCTGGACGCCGGCGATGGATTCGGTTTTGGACTCAACCACTCGACCGGCGGCAGCGGCGGCAGTGGTACGGGACAAACGTATTCTGCTGCGGGACAAAATGGTAAGAGTAGCGACACCGGAAAAGCAGGAACGCTGACCGGCCTCTCACCTTCCATCATATTTCAATTTATACTTTTATTGGATTACAACTTTATTTAAAAAAAAAAAATGACAACATCAAAAATCCAACATGAATCCCTGATGGAATGTGAAGTTTTTTTCTCGACCTTCCCCCACAGATTATTTTGGAAACGGTAGCTACCTGGATGGCCAGCGGATGGCGCCGGCGGTGGAGCAGCATGTGTCGGTCATCAGCAGCGTAAACCCCCTCCTCCTGCTTCGCTCACCATACTCCGACGTCCATGACCCGCTCAACATCCTTGACCGGCCCGGCAGGAAGAGCGGAACCTTCTTCAGTGACGGCCACAATGCGGCAGGTGAGCTACCAAACATTTTGCATGACTGCCGCATTTTAATCACGGACAAGATTAGGCTGTTTAGTTCGTTAGTAAGTTTTCCTAATTTATTTACTGTTGTTTTAGGGTCAATAGTCAGTTCAGTTGTTTTCATTACTTATTAGATTCAGTAAACAATTTCGTTATTTTTAGGTTGTGTTTTGCAGTTCTTTGGTTTTATTAGCTGCAGTGGTTAATTTTCATCGTCGATTGGTTTTAGTCAGTTACTGTGTTCGTTTTAAACACTCGACAACTTCGTAGTTAAGTTCATTTTAGCTGGTTTGTTACAAATTTGATTTTGGATAGTTGCGGTGATCCATTTTCAGTAGTTAGTAGGTCACAGTTGTTTGTTAGTCAGTCTTGTCAATCAGTCAGCATAATCCACCCGTCCGTCCGTCCGTCCGACACGCTCCATCATGACACGCTGGCTAAGTTATGACAACGCACTTTTTTTTTTTCATCGCTGAGCCTCAGTTCAAACAGCCTTCAGCTGCAGCGGCGCTGTGCGGTGGAAACATGACTTAAGTGAGCCAGCAGGCAAAAGTAGGCTAAGCATGAAGGCAAACAAGATGTCCATCCCGTCATCCATCTCACATGTTGTCTCGCTAGGCTCGGCCCCCTGCATGTACGCCGTGTCCTCGTCGGCCTTCTCCCCCCAGGAGGCTTCGTTGTCGCAGCAGCAGGACCCGGTCTCTTCGTTGCCCCCCATCGACACAGTCTTCATGGGCGCCCCAGGGGTACCGTGACACAAGCAAGACCCAGGGGTTCCCCTTCAAGGTAGGCCGACCCCACCTGCAGACGACGGCTTAGTTACGGGGATGTAGCGGCCGTTTTTTTCCATTCCCGCCTGCAGCAGCTTTTTTCTTTTTTTTTTAAATTATTTATTTTGGGCGAGGGGTGCTGCACTTTCCACAAAAAAGGTCAAAATATCCAGGACTCGCCGGTCATTTTCTGTATGACAATTGTATTTTACACTTAAATTCACAGATATGTAATTAGATTTAATGACACTCAGCAAAAAATGTCTTTTGGCTGTTTTTTCATCTTGTCTTTTTTTTTTTTTATTAATGTATATATTGCCACAGTATTTCTGCAAATAATAAATAATAAAGCAATAATATAAATACTTTTTTTTTTAAAAATCAATGACCGTTGGAGAGAACAAGTGACAACGCTGCCAGAGTGCCCGCCGTCGTTCTTATCTGCCGCGCCAGTGACAGATGGCGGCGCGTGTGCCCGTTACAGCGTGTTACACCTTAAAGTACTTTTAATTACACAGTCAATAATGGTGCGCCACAATTGGCCCGGCCGCTCGTGTGAAAACAACAGAAGGCCCAAGGCAAACTTTGGGACAATGTTTAACCACAACATGGCCAGCCAACAAGCACCCTCCAGATGGCCTCACTGACTTCTTTTGTTTTAATGATGAATGAGTCCAAAAATAATCAATGCAAATTCAAGTTAATGAAATGGTAATCAACAATTTGTGTTCATTCATTCATTCATTCATTCATATCTATCTATCTATCTATCTATCTATCTATCTATCTATCTATCTATCTATCTATCTATCTATCTATCTATCTATTTTTTTTTAATCATTGGATATTGTAACATTCAAATTGAGGCAAATTTCCCCATTGGTGACAAATCATATTTTATATTATCTTATAAGCCAAGTAAATAGAATACCCCAAAATTCCATTAATTCCAAATATTCTACATTGAATATAATAGTGGCGGTGCCAATATTTATTGTAAAAATTAAGGTATAATTTATTCCAGTTACGTCTATCATTTTAGTCTGTTGATTATAGATTTAAAAAATCAACAACAGCAACAGTTAAATTTATTTAGTAAGCAGAGAATTGCACTCAATGCTCCACCTGACAATTTGGGCTAACAGCAGCTTTGTGCCACCAGGTGCCACTCATGTGATGCTCATCATGAAGGTCACAGTATTGGGAACACTCGCTTCACCATAATCTACCCATTATTAGTCAGTCATTTTCACCCCACGTTTTTTTTTTTTTTTTTGGTATGGAGCTCTACTGAGAGAGACCGCCACATTCCAACGACACTTAATTGCTTTGGCCCTTGAGAGGAAAAAAAAAAGTGCTTCAAGGTTGCAAAATAAGAAATGATGAAATAAATACAAATAATGAGAAAACCAGTGCACGATCATCGATTGACTTCAGGAAAGTCAGCTCAAGTCAACTAGGCCTTCGCAAAGTTTAACGAGGTTCTGCTTCAAAAACTGCTTCAAAAGACATCGACTTGTCAAGAGTCCTTTACCTCTTCCTTTCAAACCATTTAGGCTTCGTCAATAGCTGCTGATTATGATTCCAATGTGATTCGCGTGTTGATTGTACGGCAGGGCAATTAATTGGAAATGTAATTGTAATTTTGATACCTTCTGACGATAAAAACATTCGAATTGAAGAAAAGCGATTCATATTGCACTACAACTTTCTTTGTATAGCGCTTTTCACAACAGCTGCAACTATAACAAATCATATCTACTGCAACATAAAATAACCATTTGCGATTGTCTGGCAACCACTTCAGGGTCCACCCCGCCGCCTATTTGCCCGTAGACAGCTGGGATACGTTCCAGCACACCTGCGACTCTGTTGACGAGAAGCGGCTCGGTTAATGGACACATGGTTGGATGTATAAAATAACAATAATACAACAACAAAAACTGTGAAGACAGTAAATCCAAATAGAAGAAGCGAATGATACTAACATATACAGTAGACAGCAGAAAACAATAGAACAGTGTTCGTCTCCCATTGGGTCAAAAGCCAAAGAATAAAAATGTGTCTTCAAAGGTGTTTTAAAAATGGACACAGGGCTTGTCGAACATGTAAGCAGAAAATGCTCTGGTTAGTCCAATAGCGTCTCATCCACAGACCTTAGGCAGGTTGGTTCACTGGTGGAGGAGCTCAGAGCGGAAAGCTGGGGTGAGGCCATTCAAAGATTAGGAAACAAATAAAAGTATCTTAAAATTAACTCTGAAATGTACTGGAAGTAAATGAACGGAAGCCAGAATTGGGGTCCTGTGCTCCCTTTTACGAGCTCCAGTCAGGAGGTGAGCCGCAGGATTTTGGCCCAACTGGAGACGCTTGAGGGAGGACTTTAAATGTATTACAGTGATTTAGCAGAGATTACTCTTTATAACCGCTCTTGAGAAAGGAAGGGCTTTACCTGAGTCCGCTGCCTAAAATGAAAAGCTAGATTTAACAACAGCACTGATTTGCTGGTGCAATTTAAAATCACTATCCAATTGAAATCCCAAATTTGAGACTGCTGCCTTTTGATGAGACGCCAGGCCAGCTCAACACGGTGGGATTGTCCAAGGACCACAGGGACCAAACACCATAACTTCTGTTTTCTTTTCGTCGAAATTCAAGAGAATCGCTGACATTCGGGCTTTGATTTCCTCTTGAGAGGACAAAGCGGTCGTCAGTTGTGAACATAATGTGATTGCGCGTGACGGACGTTGTTCAACCTTACCTGAGCGTGCCTTACACCAATAATGATAACCTGGTAACACGATAAGCTGTCCACTGTAGTAACCGCTGTCCCTGAAAGGGTTAAAATGTTTATTGAAAGCCCAGTTTGGATTTACTGCCAAGCTAAACATCACAAAAAGAATGACATATTTGTTTTAATGCAATTTGTACTTTGTTTAGCATTAAGCTCACTAGCTTAATGCTAACTGTGGAAAGAAAACCCCATTTACAGGCTAGCAAAAATTAGCATGATGACTTCTACAGCTAACAAAGGGGCACAAACAAACATATTCAGACAGCTAATATGAAAACGATACTCACTGGCATATATTTTTCTGCATCTATGAAATAAGAATTTTATGAAGAAATTTCAAATGTGACTTTCCTCTTCCACACTAGTGAGTGTGGAGCTCCAAGGCTGCGCCGCATCACGCTGCCTCGCAAAGCCTCAGGCGATAATTTTATATGTTACCGATGATTTTCTGGTAGTTATTTGGAGTGATATTTAGTTCCGTTTTGGTCGCTGAAAATCCGTTTTGAAATTGATGAATAGTCGTGTTTTTTAATCGTGATTTCAATATCAGTCAAAGTCACGGTGATGATTATTTTTTCCGTAATGGCCCAACCCTTGTTGATCCTTCCTGACTATGATAGCTTTTCCATCAACTTTGCATTGGTTTTGGTACTACTTTATAAAGTCTTTACCTTGAAAAGTTAACACGAGGAAAATTCTCTTCTTATTGATCATGACGGATGTGTACAGAATGTTCATTGTCTTCTGTCGGCATTCAACTCGGTGATGTTTAGCTACATGTATGTGTTCCCAGTACATCGTTTCCACTTGGCCACAAAACGGATACACATGTCTGACATACGCCGGAGTGCAACGCTGCGTTCAGACGTTTACAAAAGAATTCCATTGCCGCCATTGATGCGTCAAAAGTCTCAACTGGGTGCCGTCTCCGCCGGCTTCACCTTGGCAAGACCGTCGCAAAGTTCTCACCGACCTTGCACTTAAATTTTTTAAACAAGCTTTCTCGAGTGCGTCTTTAAACAAATTCTTGGCCGCGTAAGCCACAAAGCGCCGATGATTATTCACTGACAAGTGTTTGTATTGGAGTCGTCCCGCGTGTCATAGAAAGATGATTATGAATACATTTCAAAAGAGGCAACATTCCCTGCCTGGCCGCCATTGTCGTCCTCGTCCTTGTTGCTGTTTACTGTTTGACTTGCAACAACTCGCCGAGCATGAAAGGGCCTCTCGAGTTCACTCGTTCTTTTTTTCTCATTGGCGGCCACAAAAGCTCTGCCTTGGCAAACGGCATAATGTTCCACACAAATCACGAAGAGAAAGTTTCAAATATTCTGCAGTGCCCGTGTACAAGAATCAACAAGCAGCCCCCCCCCCCTCCCTCCTATTCTTATTTAAATATATTTTTAAAGTGGTTACTTTCCATGCCCGGTGAAAATCAGCCTTGTAGAGAAATTGTATGATTTTTAAAAAATAGTTTCTTTCACCCCCTTCACCTCCTTGAAACACAATTTAACTTGTTCAAAATTAGCTTTTTAAATCATTCCTTCGTGCTTGTTCTCACTCCCTCGCTGTCAAAAATTGCATCTCATCACTTTGAGGAAACCAAAAGAAGACCCGCTCGCACATTTATCCAAATAAGAGGCGAAGCTTGCTTGCTTGATGCGCGACACTGTCAAACCTGTTGAGATATCCATCCATCCATCACTCCGTTTTATGATCCGCTTAATCCACACAAGGGTCGCGGGGGGTGCCGGAGCCTATCCCAGCCGTCTTCGGGCAGTAGGCGGGGGTCACCGTGAACAGGTTGCCAGCCAATCGCAGGGCACACAGAAACGAACAACCATTCGGGCTCACACTCACACCGTGGGACAATTTAGAGTGTTCAATCAGCCTGCCATGCACGTTTTTGGAATGTGGGAGGAAACCGGAGTACCCGGAGAAAAACCCACGCAGGCCCGGGGAGAACATACAAACTCCACACAGGGAGACCGGAGCTGGAATTGAACCCGGTACCTCTGCACTGTGAGTTTCGACGTGCTAACCACAGGACCACCTGGCCGCCCCCCAAATAACCTGAATACTGAAAATCGCTGTAATTCAATTTTGTTGTTTTTATAAAGATGTCCTGTTAGGCTTTACATGGGATTGTTGTACCCGAATGCGGAGGTGTAGCGTTAAAACTGCTTTCACTATTTCAGTTGTGTTGCTATTTATTTATTTTTCTTTTTGTGCGTTGTGGCTAAAATGCTGCCTAGCGACGCTTCAGCATCCGGAAGGCATCTTAGCTTGAGAAAATCCATTGGCGCGGCCGCATTAGAGCGCCTCGTTGTGGGCCCTGAGTCACGCAGAGAGAGATAAAAGAGCAAGGCGGGGTAGCAATGACTTTTTTTTTCTTAACTAAACAACACCAACTTGACAGCCACCATGTTAACCGGGTCTTCACTGTGGCGTGGTCGCTTTAGAACGCCTCATCGTCATGGCCCATAACGCCTTTGCGGGATAGTATTCCAACCTCCGGAGGCCTTAAGCAGACATATTTTTGCGTCTCAATCATGTTGTAATGTGTTGGCATAAGAAAGATGCTCGACAAAGAATCTGCTGTTTTTCCAGCTCGTAGAAATTTGATTGGCAGTCGACAGTTGAGTGCGGCATGGTTTCAGCGCCTTCGAGAGTGGAGGGAACGGCTATATTTTTAATTACTTGGAAGCCTCACTTCTTACACTTAGCAACATGTGTATACATTTTTTAATCATTCAAATTGGACCAGATTGTTAACCACAGTCTTTTCTTCTGGTGTTTCAAATTTAGAAAACTTTGTTGCTTTCACTTGAAACGGCCTGAAATCATTCGACGCATTGTCGGAAGGGACAGCGAAATGAATGCAACAAATGACAGGAGTCTTGAGCATGTAAATGCTCAGGAACTTGCGCCTGTGGTCCTACGATGCCCCAGTTTCTTCATTTAACCTTTATTTATCCGGGTGAGGCGACTGAAAACAGATGATCATTTGCAAAGCTGACCTGGCTGCAGACGGCAGTGCCGAATAGCGGCGCTTCCACCTGTGCTCGGAAGAAAGGACGATCTTGTCATTTCAGTATTGTCGTCTGAGTCTCCTTCCTTTTCTGCCTCTGGCTGACCTTCTATTGTGAGTTGCTTGGAGACTGGTCGCCCGACTCTCCAAAGCAACATCCCTCAACGTACCCCCCCCCACTCTAAGCGCCCCCATTTGCCTTACCCCCTTCACACCGGGCCCTCCTTTTATTCCGCTCGCATATCAAACACAATCTGTGTGTCTTGTCGTATTCATGTCTTGCTGCTGCTGCTGCAGTTTTGGTGGTGTCAGGGTAACGAGAGAGAGCGAGCGCGACACGCGCACCTTTATTTCCAGTATTTTCATTGTCCCCCCCTCGTTCATTCATCCATGTCTTTGGCCTTGGGATGGATACTTCGTGGTGCATTGTGCTCCTTCATGCATTTTTATCATCGATCGGTCGCTGCGCCGGGTTTGTGTTCACGTGCCAATCGCCACAAAACAAAATGGCGTATCGATCAGGCAGGCCCTGCTCCGAGTTGACGCCTGCTTGCGATTTTTTTTTTAATTAGTTTTTTTTTTTTTTTTTTTAGGGGGGCTGGGGGAGGCTAAGGCGAGCGGTTTGACTAGCGCTGCACCTGTGTCGCGGACGCTGAATACAAGCGACATGTCACTCTTAATGAGCCAATTTATCCAGTGGCGGCGAGGTCCTTGGCGAGTCCTTTCATCTAAGCGCCGCCTTGACAAGAAGAGCTCGCAGGAGCTGAAGGAGACATCCTGGTTGGGGGAAACAAAACAAACAAAAAAAACAAACAAAAAAGAGGCTCGCTGGCCAAGCATCCATCGGTCTGTCCAATTTCCTGGCGCTTGTCGTCATTAAGGTGGTGGCTGAACTGGAGTCTGACGCAGCTGACTTTGGGGCGAAAGACATGATACACCCTGGAATGGTCGCCCGTCAATGTGAGGGCACATAGTGACAAACGTGGACTAGTTGCCAGCATACCATTCAGAAGTGTGGCGGTGACTAATAATAGGTTTGATATCGAAAAGCGCTTTTTGTTACCTCATCTAGAGTATATTTATGAACTTAACTGTATTGAAAAAATAAGTCCTTTTCTTTCAGAGGGAGATGTGAAAGGACACTTTGATTCGCTCCTCTTTCATCTATAACTGCTTCAAACAACAAAGTGAATGCAGAAAAAATGGTTAAGATTGGATGACTGTCTGTGTATTATGTGTTGTGTTGTACTATTTTGTCATTTCATGTCATCTGTTCTTTTGATGGCGGCGCGGGCACCCGCAGCGGCTCCGCTCTCTTGTTGGTGGAAAGCGGCCTCCTTTCCCCCGTGTGTTCGTTGAATTTCGGACGAGGAGAATGTCGGTTCTTCAAACAAAGGCTGCAATCGATGAACAGTTTCTTCAAAGCTTTTAATAACAGAATATTCTGGGCATCAGTGAATTACAGACAATGGCTGCGGGTCACAAGTGCGATGCAGGGCGGTACCGAGGCACAAAGTGTGACATCATAACTTTCGTTTCTCCTAAACCGATTCTCAGCTTGGCGCATTCCAATGTTTGTGTCTCTCCGGCAGTATTTTGATTTTAAGTGATGATTGTTACAAGGACGCCAAGCTACGCTGCAAGCATGGGAAAGTTATACAGCATGACTAAATATGAGCATAATATAGACTTCATTCTCCTGAGGAATGTCATTTCATCTGTGCTGTATGTTGCACACGTAGCACATTTGACAATAAAGTTGACTTGAAAGATATTTCTCATGCACCGGGTACTAGTCAGTGTCAGGGCACATATCGACAAACAATCGACTAGTTGGAATGCAATCAGGGGACATAAATAGACAAACAAGCATTATTTGTACGATTTACAAAAACAAATATGGCGATTGTGTTGTTTTAAGAGTAAATCAGAAACGGTAGGAGAGGGAAAAAGTCCCAACATGATTCCCGTTAATTAAGGCACGCGCAGGCGAGGCTAATGAGCCTCCTCTAATGAAGGAGCTCCTTCAAGGTGCTTCAAGGTGACCGCAACATCCGCACAGGCCGGAATGTTCATCAAACCTCTTTTCACCCGCTTTGACTCCCCGGCGACTGAGCGCATTTCCCGCAACAAGTGTGGCGTCGTACCCGAGGCGAGCACCGGGACAACGAGAATGCGCCGGCAGCCTCTTTTGCTTTTTTTTTTTTTTTTTTTTTTTTCTTTCCTTGGCATCCATTCAACTGGTGCCGGCGCAGCCCGCCCCCCAGACGCAATGATCATTAATCCAAAAATCAGCGTTGGCTAATTAGGACAGCCGTCCACACATTCTGCCTTCACAACGACAATGCGCTGTCAACAGCGTCTTAATTTCTTCACGACTGAATTTGGCCCCCACCCAACAGCGACGGTGGTTCATTCCGTCTCTTTTTCTGTAGAACACCCTTTCGTTGCCCCTTGACCCCCTTTTGCCTTATATGATCTCTTTTGGTCCACTTTGGCTCCTTTAGGTGTCCATTGATTTCCTTTAGTCAACTTTTTCTTCATGATTTGTCTGTTTTTGTTTTGAGGTCGGCCGGCCTGGTGGTCGGCGCGGGCGCCCGCAGCGGCTCCTCTTTTGTCTGTTGTTTGTTTAAGAGGGAGGAAATTTCATCTCAGCACATTTGACAATAAAGTTGTACAGTCATACCTCGGTTTTCGACCATAAGCCATTCCAGAAGGCTGTTCGAAAACCGATTTGTTCGAAAACCGAAACCTTTAAAAAAATCTTAAAAAAAAAAAAAATCTTTATTGAACACGTCTGCTCACAATAGAACGCTACACGAGGAAGCGTCACTTGCTCGTGTAAGGAAGGCGAGAGGAGTCAAGTGGCGCATTCAAGTGCGCTCAGTTTGGTCGAGAACCGATTTTCGGTCGTGATCCAAGGCATAAAAAAAAAAAAAAACTCAAAATTTTTGTTCAAAAACCGAGGTTTGACTGTACTTGACTGGTGAGCGCGTCGGCCTCACAGTGCAGAGGTGCAGGGCTCAATTCCGGCGTCGGTCTTCCTGTGTGTAGTTTGCATGTTCTCCCCCGTGCTTTTGTGGGTTTTCTCCGGGTACTCCGGTTTTTCCTCCCACATTCCAAAAACAAGCGTGGCAGGTTCATGGAACACTCTAAATTGTCCCTTTAGATGTGAGTGTGAGCGCGGATGGTTGTTTGTCTATGTGTGCCCTGCGATTGGCTGGCAACCGGTTCAGGGTGTCCCCCGCCTTACTGCCCGAAGACAGCTGGGATAGGCTCCAGCATGCCCTGCGACCCTTGTGAGGATAATGCGGATCAGAAAATGGATGGATGGATGTTTTGAGGTCCAGCTGAGTGGTGGGTGTTTCCGTTCACGTGCAGTTTTCTACACATTCCTATTCTTGCTCTGTTTTTCTTGTTCCTTGTTTTTTTTTGCTCTCCGGTTCCTAGTTGTAGTCATTTTTGGTTTGGATAGTTCTTCTCGGTTTGTATTCCTCGTGACTTGGTTTTCTTGTCCTTTTGTGACAAGCTATTTTCGTTGACGTTGCCTTTTTGCAAGCGCCTTTTGTTTCTCCCGTTTTATCCTGGTGTGTGGCTCAGCGTCTTTATTCGTATTTTGTCGGCTTTGCGCCACTTTTTCTGTCATAAGTATTTGTTGCGTACAATTTTTCTGAGTCTACATTTTGAGAGTCCACGTCTGTCCCGCTCTTCCGGACCCTGACAGTTTTAGTTGGTTCCCCCTTGATCATTGTTGGACCCGACATCCTCAAATGGTCTCTTTTGGTCCCCTTCATCCTCAAATGTGCTCCTTGGGGACCCTTCGTCCGACTACGGTCTCCTTTGGTGTCTCTTGGGTTCCTATTTTTGAAACACAAACCTAAAGTTGCTCCCACTTTTATTTTATTTTATCAAAGCTGTGTAGTCTATTCGATCTGCAGGGCAAAGATAAAAATTCAGAAAAAGAAGACGCAAAGAGCACGAACCAGAACAAAAACAGACATGAAAAAGGGAACACAAAAGGTTCGCTGGGAGGTTTTTTTTCGAAGCATGTTAAAAGCGAGCGTGCCGTGATTTAATTAAAACAAAAATGGCTCAGAGGCTCGATAATACAGACACTTGCGAAGCTCACAAAGAGTCAACTTTTCACTTGGCACTGTCAGAAAAGGAAGGTCAGAGTCAAATGAGGACTTTTTTTTTTTTTGGGTCACTCTTCACATTGATTTTGGCCTCGGCTCAAGCGTATTATCGCACACAAGGGCAGCGCGCTCAAAGGCGCTCGCAAATCACCATTTTGCAATTTTCTTATTCACCGCTTTCAAAGAACAACATTTTCAACAGAAAAGATTCAGGGTCTGCTTGGTGGCGGCAATCACGTTTTGGGTCAGACACACGGGGGAAAAGCCAATGTTGGAATGCCGCAATTGGCAAATGAGAATTCAAATATAGGCGGAAACCATACCAAGGATCATTTCATTCGACAAAGTTAAGTGGCGGATTCTAACTGCAGCTCGTTGAGGGTTTGACAGTTAAAGTAATGATTCTCTTTTCCAAAGGGGGGAAGGATTGGGGGATGGATTGGTTGGGTGGAGGGGGAGGGCGGCAACGATAACTAAAGGTGACCAAAGGGGACAAAAGGAGAAAGTAGGAACCAAAGTGAACAAAAGGAGACCAAAACGGAATTAGATGGACCGACCGCAGAAGACCAAAGGGGGGGCAAAGAGGACTAAGGGGGTGAAAGATTGCCAAAGAAGACCAAACGGGGACTGATTGGTATGTAAAAAAGGCTGAAGAGAACTGAACTGAAGGAGGCCAAGGGCAACAAGTGAAACCAGAGAAGTGTTGAAGGTGACCAAGGGAGGACAAAGGGGAGATTATTGGGTGGGACCAAAGATGGCTGAAGGTGACCAAATAAATTGATGATCATATCGAAAAACAGAATCGTTATAATGATTGTCAAACCCTCATCAATTCATTTGGTAGTCTTTTACCGTTGTCAGTCCTATTTGCCCCCCTTTGGACTCTTTTGGTCCATCCAATCATCTCGGTTTTGGTCTCCTTTTGCATCCTTCTGTCCCCTTTGGTTGCTACTTTCTGCTTTGTCCCCTTTGGTCACCTTTAGATATGGAAAAGGCTTGATCCCCTCTGAGCCTTTGCTTAGTTCTTCGTGCCTCTAATAATAGGCACGGTGGCAGGGGCGTCGGGGGGGAAGGAGCTCAGAGAGGTAAGGTGAGATGGGATTTGAAAACAAAAAGATGTTAAAAAAACCTCTAAAATGTTTCGGGAGCCAGTGAAGAGATGCCAAAGTAGGACTGATGTGCTCCCTCTTACGAGTATCAGTCAAGAAGTGAGCAGCAGCATTCTGGACCAACTGGAGACGCTTTGTGGAGGATTGGCTGACTCCAGAGTAAAGTCCATGACTTCCTCAGTCCTCTTCAGCCTCCTTCCATGCCACCAGTCTTCCTTATTCGGTTTTCCTTTGGCCTCCTCCTGTTCCCGTTGGCCCCGCTTGTCTTGCTTTTTTCCTTGTTTGTCCCCTTCAGCTGTCTTTGGTCCTCCCCATCAGTCCTCCTTTTGGTCTACTATGGCACCCTTTTGGCCGACTTGGTCCCTCTGGTAACGCCCCCCCCCCCTTTAGTCTTTCTATCTTCCCTTTGGTCCATCTTGTCCCCCTTTTGTCTCCCTATAGGACACTTTAGGCCTCCTTCAGTTCCTCTTTATCCCCGTTTGGGTGCTGCTGTTGCTTCTGTTGCGGCTGTTGACAGCTCCAGCTGTCTCCTCGCCTGCGTGGCCGCCACACACACACACACACACACACACACACACACACACACACACACACACACACACACACACACACACACACAGTGCAGCTTATAATGCAGCAACATAGTTGAGTACAATTAACGCTTACAGGGAAGTAAGCATGAGTCAATAAAATGTCAATGCTATTCAGGGTGTGTGCGTGTGCGTGTGTGTGTGTGTGTTTAATTAGATCCGTTAATGAGCATTTCCTGTCGTCGCACCCGCCTCGTATGCCAAGCGGGCTGAGCGCAAGCAAACATGGCGAGAGGCATGCCAGGCATCCTCTCGTCTTATCGAGCCTCACAAATGACTGTTGAGTATGCGCCCGCTATGTCGCTCGGAATCTCGACAATCCTCGCCCGCTCGCGCCCAACCGCCTTCCTGTTGTAAACGCACTGATTAACGCTGCCAGCCAACATCACTTAGAGGGAAATGAAGATGATAGCCAAGAGTGGCATTTTCCTTTATTTTTTTTTTATTTTTATTTTTTTTTAATGATTCGAACGCCGGTACGCCACAGGGACAAAAGTATTGGAACGCCCGCAGGAACCGAAGCAAAAGTGGAGATAAGCACTCACAATATCTTACGCGTCCCTGGGAAGACTTTGTGCAACAAATGGGATCAAAGAGGGGCCAATGGCAGATGGAAAGGGGCCAAAGGAAACCTAAATGCATCTGAAGGATACTAAAAGTGGACGAAGATGACCAAGGGAAACTGAAGAAGGGTGCTGAGGGAGACCAAAGGGCCCAGATGGGTGTGCCAAAGGAAAACGAAGGAGGCCAAAAGGGGTCGAAAGGAAACTGAAACGAACCAGAAGAGGCAGAAGATGGACATAGATGACCCAAAAAAGACAAAAATGGACCAAATGGACCCCAACGAGGACAAAAGAAAGCCAACGGAGGCCAAAGACCCCGAAGGAGAAATCCTAAAAGGGACCAAAGAGGGCCAACATGGTCCACGGGACACAAAAGAAGATCAAATGATGCTTATGGGAGCTGAAGGAAACCAATGAACACGCAAATAAAACCAAAGGGGACAAATGGGCGTGCTTAAGAGAAGCGAAGGAGGCTGAAGCGAAACCAAATGGGACTAATGATGATTAAATTGGGTAAAAGGAGACCAAACGCGACCAAAATTGGCTGAAGAGAAACCGAATGGAGCTGCAGCGGAGCATGCAAATGTGAAATTTTTTATCACGTTTGCTTTTATTCGTTGAAAACGAATTTCAACTGACAATTCACGCACCTGAGTGTGCACGCAGACTACATTGGCAGCACACACACACACACACACACACACACACACACACACACACACACACACACACACACACACTAATGGGTGTGCGTCCTTGGCAGTGCTGTGCTGGTAGGCCTTTGGCAAATGGAGGGTCATGGTCGGGTCTTTGCCATCATCCGGCTGAACAAAAAGAAAAACAAGAATGAGGATGAGCGCAGCGTGACACAACAGTCGTACACACCTGCTCAGGATCTTGACAATGGCGCACTATAAGTAACGTGCCGGGAAGGAAGAAAGAAAGGAAGGAAGGTTGAGGAAAGAAGGAAGGATGGAAAAGGGGTGGAGGAGCTAAGACGCCAGGCGAGGGCAGCTGAGCAGACGGAAGACAATGTCGAAGGATGTGGAAAGGACGGTGGACAAACCACAAGCTGAGAGACAACGTGAGTAGACCGCATTTGCTCCCGGGTAGAAAAACCGCATTACCCACAATCCTCGGGACAGTTGAACGATTAATCGAGTTGAACGATTAATCGATCCATCTGTCCGTCTTGTCTTTTCTTTACATTCGTCCGTACCTTCATAAAATCTTATCAGATCTGTCTGTCCTTCTACCGATCTGTCTTTCTGTCCGTCCGTCCCTCCACCTGGCCACCTGGAAAAAAAAAAAATCTTACCACATCTGTCTGCCCATCCGCCCGTAAGGTTTTATCAGATCTGCCCGTCTGTTCGTCCGTCCATCCACAAGATCTTATCAGACATGTTTGTCCGTCCACCCATCAAGTCAGATCCGTCTGTCAGTAAAAACTTAATCAGACTCATGCCCGTCTCTGTCCGTCACTCTGTCCAATCTTGTGGCAGGGGTGCCCAGTAATTAGGTCGTGAGCTAAGGAAGTGTCGGTAGCTCTCATATGGCATTAACCCAAACACTGCCAGCCCCCAAATTTTAGGCTATCAATAAAACTGCCAGTCAACGGCATGGAGTCAGTTAAAAACAAAAACAAAACAATCACCCGATCGTCTGTTGTGAAATTTGTCACTTGATTGACATACAGGGCAGCCAGTCATATACCTGTAGCATGCCTCACCACACATACACATACGATATATATATATGTATGTATGTATGTATGTATGTATGTATGTATGTACCATATTTTCCGCACTAAAAGGCGCACCTAAAAACCTTCCATTTTCTTCAAAGCTCACAGCGCGCCTTAAAATCCGGTGCGTCTTGTGTATGGTCATTACGGTAATATTTCGACCCCCAAAATGGCTCCTTGCTCGAGACATGCTGACAACGCAGAGTTCAAACTCAAGGCGATCGGTTACGCAGTTGAACACGGAAATAGAGCAGCGGCAAGAGAGTTCAAAACGTTAACGAGTCAATGTTAGAACTTGCTGTTGGTTAAGTGAACTGTGTCGCTGCTTTATTAAATACGTTTTACTGACATCTGATCGTTCTGTTGCCGTTTCCTTGAGCGTCGCTCCATCTAGTGGATGCATTGTACATTGCGTCTTATAATGCGGTGCGCCCAATGTATGAAAAAAATGACAAAATAGGCCATTCATCTCGCACCCGCCATACAGGAACCAGGACCCAGCCTAAAAGCCCACCCCCCACCGCAACCGGAAGACGGCCTCCAAACGGGGATCCTCCCTCCAATCACAGGCCCTGGATCCACCTCAGTGCGCTGACAGGGTCACTTCCAATGGCCACCGGCTACTGTCAAGAGCCTGAAGAAGGGAGAGCTACAACGGACAGATCCAGTACATGGACAGACAGGCAACTGGACGGACGGACACACGGATACGGTTTTAATGGACTGATTGATCTGCTGAAGCTGCACGACGAATGGACAGACTGAAGGAGAGACAGGCGGACAGACAGACAGATTTTTACGAACGGATGGTTGCATGGGTGAAAACCGAGGTATGACTGTACACTTTTTTTTAGCATGCGAGCTACATTTAAAATGACAAAAAGTCCAAATGATCTAAAAATAAATACATT